GCCTCCATCCCTTGCAAAAAAATCTATTTCCTGATCATGCGATCAGGGAAAAAAACCTTATTTTTTACCATACATTATGCCCGGCCCCGGTCGCGACCGGGGCACATCCATTGCCAAAAATATTATATCCTGATCATGCGATCCGAAAAAAAAACATATTTTTTTACAATACAAAGTGCCCGGCCCCGGTTCGCGACCCCACATGTAACCCGGGATTTTATATTGTAAAAGATATTATAACCTTAACATGCTGCCTTTCAACATGCCTCATCCTTTGCAACAAATATATATTATGATCATTCTTCCTTTCCGATGTGCATTTTCCTTTGGAAAAATATTATATAATTGTATTCTGCTCTTGCACGATGTGTTCATGTATATATTCCATTGCAAAAACTCTGCAGGGGCCGCCTTGCGGCCTCTTGGGGGCCTCCTGAGGGTTGTTGGGAGCCTCTTGGCGTTTCTTATGGGCCTCTTGGGTCCTCCCGGGGACTTCCGAGGGGCGAGGGCTCTGAGTATTGTTCCTCCCTGGTGCCTTTCTTGGGGTGTTCTTGGGGCTCTCTTGCGCTGTCTTGGAGGTCCAGGTAGGGTCTAACAGGGGTCCGGGGACAAGCGATAGGAACCTCATGTTATGGCGTGACTGTATTATAGAAACGACAAAACATGCGAGATTCTCCAAAATCTATGGAATCTCATGTCATAGCGTGGCCGTGAGATATTGTAGCACTGCATGGCAGGTCGTTGATCTATACCACACCATATCAGCTCCAGGACATGATACTATAGACACCTCATGCTATAGCATGACGATAGGGATAGCAAAGCACGTACGTCAGACGCGAGGCTCCCCGGATTGAAGTGAGCCTCCAGTGCAGCGTGACTATGCCACAACATATCACAACATCACAGCACCAGAGCTTAGAACTTGACAGTACAACCTGACATCTTCCATGCAATGATATAGCAGAGTTTACCAGCTCCAAAACATAATATAACACATAGCATATAGCAGCATGATTATATATAGCGTGGCCGTGACATAATATAAAACAGCATAGCAGGTCGTGGTCCGAAGCTTATATGATCACGCTAGTATATAACGTGGCCATGCCATACTATAGCACAGCATGACAGCTCCAAGACCTGATGCTATAGGAAGCTCAGGTTATAGCGTGACTCGCAAGAGCGAAGCATAGGGCCAAGCTTCTGTTTTTTCGAAGCCCGCAATCGCTTCGGTCGTCAGTACCGGGGTGCCTATAGGGAACGCTGGCACCGAAGATAGAGAAAGCTGCACACTGAAACGGCAGCCGGGCAGATACCCCAAGTGGGGTAGGCGAAACAGCCCACAGAAAGGTGCATGCAGCAACGGAAGGCGAGCAGATGCCCCAATTGGGGTAGGTGAAACAGCCCACGCGTGGGCAGAGATAACAGTCTGGAGGCGTGGCCACAGGTAGGCACTGGTAAACAGGTCGGCACCGGAATCCCTCTTCCTCCTTTTCCTCCTCCTCGCTCTCCTCCTCCTCCTCCTCCTCCTCCTCCACGTCCGCCTCCTCCCCCTCCTCCGGCTCTTCCCCTCCCTTCTCCTTCTCCTTCTCTTCTTCCTGCTCCTCCTCCTCCTCTCCTCCTCCTCTTCCTCCCCCCTCATTGCAGGTGCGTGAACGAATACAGCAGAGAAAAAGACCGCACGTAATAGACTGCCCGCGCGCTCGTATCCACCATCGGCAGCGCGACATCACCTATCATAGTCGCGCCTCCGGTCGCCCAGAGAAGCCGGCCCAGAGACTGGGGTCTGCGCTCCGAGATAACATCGCCCCAGCGCTGTTCTACAGCGATAGGCATTGCTGATAAAAACGCGCCGTCATAAGCAGCAAATGAGCTAGCGCTCCAGGCCAAGAGGAAGGTAGAGAGGACATGATTCTTGCATGGATGATTATTGCATGGATATATTTGCATCCATGATGGTGACATAAGTCCCCAAACAGTAGTAGGAGTATGAGAGTGGATGAGTGCACAGACGCATTCAAAATCCAGCATAGAGCGCTAGGACAAAGAAAAGAGAATGGCACAGGCAGGAGCACAGGAGATAGGAGCACAGAATGAAGGCGTGCAAGAGGTTGGAATACTGGGATGGAGTGCAGGAGTACAGGGAGGAGAAGTACATGAGATAGGAGGAGGAGCGGAGGACAGGAGATAGGAGCGCAGCTGCATACACATAGCGTGCACCGCGACGCCGCGAGCCGGAGGCAGGAGCGGAGGACAGGAGACAGGAGTGCCACTGTATAGTCCCAGTGCGCACCGCGACGCCGCGCGCCAGCGCACAAGGACCGCACAAGGACCGGAGCGGAGACAAGAGTACAGGAGATGTAGTACAGGAGATGGGAGTGCAGGAGTGCAGGAGATGGAGCGATGAGCGGAGCACGATGATATAGGATTGCGGGATTGAAGGCTTACAGGAGGGGAGCACAGGGATGGGATAGGAGTATAGGCAAGAGGAGTACATGAGATAGGAAAAGGAGCGGTGGACAGGAGATAGGCGTGTCCAGGACACGCGCAAGTCAACATAGTTCATATACGCCAAGCTCCGCGTATGCGGCCAGCTCAGACGCGCCGCCCTCGAAGGCGGCCATGGCCTCGAGGATGGAGTAGCGCGAGTCCTCGTCCTCGTCGTCCGGATCGTCATCGTCCGTGCTCGCCTCGGACTCCGTCTCTTCCTCCCGTGGTCCGGGCCCGTACTCGTCGTCGGAGTCACTCTAGGCCGATCTCATAGTCTGCTCGTCTGGGTCGTCCTGTTTCGTGCTCACAGGTAGCCAACCTGCGCGCCGAATAGAGCCAAAGTGGTAGATGCGCTCGGCGAGCCGGAAGCGGCTGGCACCCACGTAGCCATAGCCCCGCTCCGGCGGATAACAGTGATCAAAATAGAGCGCACCAAGCCCAAGAGAAGATCCCTGGGCCCTGCGGATGGTGGCAGCATAGCCGTAGGTGCACGGCAAGAAGTAATCTCCTCCGTCGGTGATCGGGTGCACGAGGAGACGGTGCTTGGTGCCCGTGAGCGTCACCGTAAAGATAGACTTGTTCTCCAGCACAACATCGATAGTGCCATTGGCGCAGTTGACGAAGCCCCGCTCCTTGTCGAGGTTCCGCGTGAGCCGAACAACCACACCAGGAGCAATGAATAGCCGCTCCTTGCCAGCTACCTGGGATGGCCTCCCGCATGGTGACAGGCAGGTTGGCCCAGAGATCACACTGACTGCGACAGGGCGATGCATCGGCGACGTGGACGTAGCAGATTAACAAAAGACAGACCACGGAGATACATGGCCGATGCATGGGCAAGCAATCCCTAGATCATCCACCCACACACCATTCGGAAAGCATAGAATCCGCCGACCCCTTGGGGATCATCGGCGTGTGAGATGCTTTCCCCCTCCCCAAACCCCTCCCCCGGGAGCCTGGTCCGGTCGATTTGGAGGGGGGGGGGGGGGGTCGACCACGAGCGCGTCATGGGGCTCTTTCGGTCCCAAGAGGGGCTACAGACCGCCCAGGAATGCCCCAAGAGGCCTCCAAGACCGCCCACGAGCGCCTCGAAACGCCAAACAAGCGCTCGGAGACGCCCAAGGTGTGCCCAAGACAGCCCAAGAGGCCTCCAAGACGTCCCAAGAGGTCCCCAAGAGGCCTCTTGGGAGCGGCCCAAGAAGCCAAAATCGTTGATTTTCCATTGGTTTTTGAAGGAAGGGGGCCTTCTCGCCCTTTCGGCTTTCCGACGCTCCAAGACGGCCCAAGAAGCTCCCAAAACCGCCCCAAGACGGCCCAATATTCCCCCAAGACGGCCCCAAGACGGCCAGAGAGGGCCCAAAGACGGCCCAAGAGCCGCCCCAGACGGCCCAAAAGGCTCCCAAGACGAGCCCAAGAGGGGGTGAAGAGGGGGTGAAGAGCGCAAAAGTGGACCCTGCCAAACCATCCCAAGGCAAATTTCGAACCCTCGGCCCCAAGAAGCCCCCAAAAGGATCCAAGAGGCCCCCAAGAAGCCACAAATAAGCCCCAACAACCCCCGAGAGGCCCACAATAGACCCCAAGAGACCCCAGAACGGCCCCCAAGAGACTTCAAGAGTGCTCCGAGAAGGCCCCTGACAGACATACCAGGACACCTTCAAGAGGCTCCAAAGACGGCTGCAAGAGGGGGGACAATGTACATCAAGGGGTCGGCGGTGTGGCGTAAGCCCAAGAATCTTGGGGTCCCCGCAGAGCGGCGACTCGTTCTCGGGCTTGTCGTAGCCACACGCCGATAGACACGCCGAATTCACCGCCTCGGCCCCCTTGTTCGTCACCGTGAGCCAGTGGAAGGGCTCCTCCAGATCAGCGCCGATGGCCATCCCCCTCTGCACGGCCATCTCAAGGGTGATGGAGTCCCACGTGCGCCCGGCGAAGAAGGACCGGATGACCCCCTTGTGCGGCTGCCTCAGGCGCACATGCCGCAGGAAAGATAAGAGACGATCATCGTTTGTCCTGCGTATAGTGCACAGTGAGATGGTGGTCATGACCGTGATCCACGTCCGCGTAGCCGCCGAACTTCCGAGCGGATTCAGCTGCTGGAAGTCCGCCGCAAAGAAGATCGTGGGCCGCTGCGGCAGCTCCCTGAAGCCGTTGTGCAAGCGCACAGCCACGTCGTCCTCGATCTGCGACGCCTCATCGATGATGAAGAGGTCATAAGTGCGGAGGCGCGACGGAGGCGCATAGTCAACGACGGTATCGGCCCTGCGATAGATGTGCCACGCAGAGTGTATAGTCTCCACGTTGATGTTCTCGTGCTGCACCTTGGCCTTATAGGTGTGCACCAGAGTGCCGGTGGGACCCAGAATGAGAACGTGGAGACCAGCGTCCGCGGCCCTGCGGGCAGCTTCGCACAGGACCTCCGTCTTGCCGCTGCCTGGCTCCCCATTCACATAGTAGAACTGCTGCTGTACGATGTTGGCGTCGGCTCTGAATAGCACACCATCCACCACCTTCAGCACCTCCTCCTGGTCGGCAGACCACGTGAGGCGAGGGCGCGCATGCGCGTCACATTTGTTCCACTGCCGCTTGTACTCGTTGTAGTATGCGAACTGTGCGTCAATAGACGAATCAGCCTCCATCAGGCGGTCTGCTTTTCGGCGGACATCAAGCGGGATGGCCTCGGGGTGGTCGCGGCAGCGCTGCATGTGGCTATAGTAGCAGTGCACGGCATGGAGCCGCGCTCGGAACGACCTTGCACGCCCAGGAGAGACGCGGATGCGCAGGTCCGCCGCCACCACGTCCTCGAAATAAGCGAGCGCCGCGTCAACGCCGTGGAAGGGCTTACCATAGGCGCCCTCGGTATCATCAGCACATCTCAGAGGATGGAACAGTTGATCTCCAGGGCGCATAGGCATGTCCTCGGAGTCGTCGGACCGTGAGGGAGGGGGCCAAGGCCAACCGTCGTAGGGCTCCCAGCTGTGCTCATGGAGACGGTCCGCGATAGTCTCGACGGGCGCATCGAGCAGCTCGACGATAGACGTGGCATTTCTGGCGAAGCCAACCCAGCGGGTGCTCTTCATCTTCGCCAGAACGCGGAGGCGATAGTGTTCTTCTGCCTCTCCCTCCTCCTGTGGCATCATCTCTTTCACCCGCTGGCGAATACACTCTTCGCAAGAAGGACGCGTGCCCGTCATGCACACGAGGTGCTGAAGATACTTCACCGCCTTCAGATAGTGAGCCGTGAAAGGGATCAACTGGGGATCCTCTTGTGGCGGCGCAAAAAGTACCGGAGGCTCCGTGCGGGAACATCATAGCGCAGAACTGGCCGATGAAATTGTCCTGCATCTCGAATGCAAAGCGGGCGCCCACCGCCACGCGGGAGTCGCCCCCGCGCCCTCTGCGCTCGATGACCTTCTCGTGGTCCTCCGATAGTTTGTAGGTGCGGAGATAGCTCAGAAAGCTGCCACACGGCTTCGGTCCATCACCGACGGGTTCCCGCAGGAGATACTTTTTATATAGCCGCTTGGTGTCATTGTTGCCCTTGTCCAACTGCCCTGGTATGATAGCGTACGCGTTGACGACGCCGAACGTACGATACATGTGCTTGGCGCCTGCAAAATCCAGGAAGACCTCCGGCAGTCCCGGCGCCAGCTTGCACAGCATACGATAGGTCGTTCGCCACGCCGAGTGTTCGTCTCCGGCGCTTCGCGCGGCGTCAGGCTGATAATCCATAGACTGGTTGCCCTTGACGACGTAGCCGTTGATGTGTTTCAGAAACCCATGGCCCTCCTGGACGTCCACAGAGCCGCGGAACACTTCCTCCAAGAACATCACGAAGGCAGACCGATCCGCCTGGCCGCTACGGCCAGATAGATTCCCTTTCGGGCGCGCCCAGGCTGCAATATGGATGTGCTCGGTCTTGCGGCCCTGGAACTCCAGGCGAATGACATAGTCGAACACCTCTTCGAAGAACTCGTTCGGGCGGAGAATCTGCTTCATCCCATCGTAAAGCTGGTCATAGATGTGCTCGGACAGCATCCCCTGACACGCCGACATGCGGTCCGCGGCCTTCCAGTCGGCGAATAGCGGCTCGTGCAGGAGGACCTTCCATTCCGCCGGAGCGATAGTGATGAACAGGTTGGGGAAAGCCCTCCGCTGCCCCCGAAGCTGGGCGCGCTGACGCACGACATCGCATAGGAGGTCCTGCTGATGGTCGTCGTCGTCGTCGTCGACGTCGCCACCGTGGTGGTGGTGGACGTGGTTGTCGTCACTCAATCCCACTCGTCGTCACTAATGATGATGGTGATCGCCAGTCGTCCGTCATCGTCGTCTTCACGTCTCGCTCGTCGTCGTGCCATGATGTCACTCGTCATCACTCCTCGTCATCGCACTCGTCGTCGTCGTCGGAAGGTCCTGCTCGTGACGCCAATAGCTCTCGGACGTAGAGCTGTTGTCCGCCACGACGTCCGGCGTGATGCCCTGGCGCTCCGCGATAGCAATGCTGGCGGAGATGCGCTGCGCGGTTACCATGTCATAGAGCAGGAAGGCAAGGTCTGGCACGGCCTCCGCGTCGCCATAGGTCCGGCAGCGGGAATGGACTTTCCGTAGGAAGCTATGCTTGATAGTCGGGAGCTGGGACTTCTTCACGAGCTGGCGGTCCTTGGCCCAGCTGCTCACGTCGCTGTCGCCGTACACCTCCCAGGGATAAGGCACAGGGTAGAGCGCCGCCTCAATGCCCCGACTCTGGATGAGCAGCCGATAGGTGGCGATGAACATCTCCCGGTACTCCGCAGGAGCGGCCAGCTCCCGCTTGTGCTGCATGACGTAGCGCCTATATGTGCGGTTGTGCAACATGAGCCAGTTATACGCAGCACGCGCCCGGGGAGTCATAGCACCACACGTGTCCAAATCCTCACGCTTGTAGTTGACCCGGCACACCTGAGTCTTCTTCCAGTTATAGGTAGGTCCCCTGGTGACAGAGCCCCGCTCCTTCTGCTTCGTGACGAAGAGCAGGAACGGCGTGATGGTGGCGGCCTCCTCCTTCGTGATGTCCAAGAGGCTTACGATGCCCTGTGCGCCGTGTTCCCTCACGAAATCTCCATAGATGGCATACTCCTGCACCAAGGTCTCCAGCTCGTCCACATCCATGGGGCCCACGGGACCTTCGCGCATCGCCTGGCGCATGGCCGCGAGGCGCGGACCGAGGTCATAGGCAGTCACGAACCGCTGAAGACCAGGCAGATAGACTGGCCAATGGTTCTCCTGCGGCACCAGATAGAGCTGCTCGGTCTCGACGCCCACCTCGATCTCCGCGGGCAGAGGCCACAGGAGCGCCTCCAACGGGAGAGGGCATCTGGTGTCCTTGCCCCGGTCGCCACAGGCGAGGACTCGAGGGAGACGACTGACACGGTCTGAGCGCAGCGTGTCACCATAGACCAACCTCTCCCCAGAAAGCTGTCCTTTGTGAACCTGCCACCGATAGCCGCACTGCTGGCAGGAGATCCAGTTCTCGTAGGCGATGAAGAAGCGATAGCCCTGAAGCAGCGCAGCGCCACGTCGCCCAGAGGGAAGCGCAGTACGACACGGCAATGCGCCATGGCACACCGCCGAGAACTCCCGTCGACGCACCGCATCCCAACGACGGATAGTGGCTGCCCTGTGGCGCGCCTCCCCCAGCATCCAGAGCGGCACCGCCTCGCGGTGGACGGACTTGATCACAGCCTGCAGAGCCTTGTCCTCGTCTGTCTTCGCACGCACGCGCCGAGCCCAGCAGGTAGCAGCGCAGTCCACGTACTTGTCCTGAGGATGCCAAATGATAGACTCAAGGACCAACTGGACGCGCCAAAGCGCGCTGCTCAAATATAGCACCGGGCCCCGCACTGGTTTGGATGTGGAATAGACTGTCAAATATTTAGAAACATAGTATATATTGGGATAGCCCCAGGGGTGCCCTTAACAAACGCTAGATTAGCTAGGTCGTAAGTTCCAACAGCATCAAGTCAAAAGCGGTATATTCATAGAGAACTGCGACCAAAGAAAAAAAAACAATTTCAAGCGCCCAGCCCCAGTCCTTCCAGACACGCCGAACAGGGCGCTCGCCAGCATCGGGCGCATAGTGCTCAGACGTCCAGCGTCGGAGCACCGCCCAGGAAACACCACGTTCATAGTGATCTTGCACAGCCTTGCGCCGCGCCGCAGGTTCTGCGAGATCCTGGAGTAGTCGCTGCACAACGGGGGCCTCCTGATCGCTGCACAGGAGCTCATAGGACAGAGAACCGTGCTGAATCATGATGCGACGGATGACCGACTCGTGGCGGGCAGATAGCACCTGCCCGAGCCGAATCTCCAGCTGGCGGGAGATGTGATGCCGGCCTGCTTTGGGATGCAGCGCCATGAGCTCCTTTATGTCATCCACGTGCTGCCGCAGGTTCCCGACGAAGTGCAGAAAGTTCTGGCGCTCGGGCTGCTGTCGCATAGACACGCCCACGGCGGCGCGGCCCTCGGAGAGCTCGCGCATGACGCGCTCGACCACCAGGACGTGGGCCCAGCATAGCTTGACGCCGAGCTGCTCCGCCAGCTTGCGCCCGATGGCCCTGTACCCCAACCCCGGATGAGAAGTGACGAGCTCCTGGATAGCATCCACGTGCTCCCGCACGTCCCCGGAGAAGATCTCGAGATCAGTCTGCTCTGGCATTGCCATATCAGCAGCCACGAGCTGGATACCGATCTGGGCCATCACACCGCGGATTGCTTGCTTCTGAGCATCGGATAGCTCCACCTGCAGCTTCTCCTCAAGCTGATGGGCGACGCCCTGATAGTCCATGCTGGGGTCTTGCATCATGAGCTCCTCGATGGTCGCAATGTGGTCGCGCATGTCCACACCTGCCGCGCAGTCTTCTGGCTCCCGCTGCGCGCCCGGCACAGCACGGCCCTGCGAGATTCCCCCCACGATGCGCCTCACGACACTCAGGTGGGCATGGGATAGCTTGAATCGGATGTGCCGCTCGAACTCCTTCGCAATGCCCTTGTAGCCCATGCCAGGGTGAGCCACAACAAGTGCTCTGATAGAGTCGACGTGCGCCCGCATGTCGCCAGAGAAGTCGTCCCACTCCTGGCGCGGAGCCTCCGCCGCGCGACCCTCCGCGAGCTCCATCATGATGCGTCGTACAACCTGCAGGTGCGCGCAGGATAGCTTCACGGCGAGCCTCTGCTCCAGCTTGCGCCCGATAGACGTGCATCTCAATTCCGGATGAGAGGCCACGAGCTCCTTGATAACTTCCTCGTGCTCACGCACGTCGCCAGAAAAGATATCGTCGACGTCCGTCTGCTCTGGCATAGCCACATCTTCGGCCACGAGGTCGATGCTGATCTCGGCCATGACAGCAGGGATGCATTGCTTCTGGCTCTCACATAGCTCCACCCCGAGCACCTTCTGAAGCTCGTGGGCGATGCCATGATAGTCCATGGCCGGGTGACGCGTCATCAGCTCCATGATGGTGGCAGCGTGGTCGCGCACATCCAGAGGGACAGCCTCACAGTTCTCCGGCTCCCGCTGCGCGCCCAGCACAGCACGGCCCTGCGAGATGCCCTCCACGATGCGCCTCACGACACTCAGGTGGGCAGGGGACAGCTTCAACCGGATATGCTGCTCGAGCTCCTTCGCAGTGCCCTTGTAGCCCATGCCAGGATGAGCCACAACGAGTGCTCTAATAGAGTCGACGTGATCCCGCATGTCGCCGGAGAACTCTTCCCACTCCAGCGCGACCACATCATTCGACAGCTCGGCCATGATGCGTCGTACAGCCTGCAGGTGCGCGCAGGATAGCTTCACGCCGAGCCTCTGTTCCAGCTTGCGCCCGATAGCCTTGTACTGCAACTCCGGATGAGAGACAACGAGCTCCTGGATAGAGTCCACGTGATCACGCACGTTCCCAAAGAAATGTGACCAACCGTGGCGATCGGCGTCAGATGCATTAGGCTCAGCCTTCTGCAGCCGCTGGACAGCCTGATAGTCGGACTCCTCCAAGCTCACCTCCAGGACCTCGCAGAGCCGAGCGCCGACCCGCCTATAGCTCCAATCAGGGAAGTCATTCATGATGCCCCTGACAACATCAACATGATTGCGGACGTCATCAATGCGCGGAAGCGCCGAAAGCGCAGACGCTGGGCGCTTCCGACACGACATTGCGTGTCACGGTAGGCTACACACCGGCAGCCGACCGGCGCGAACAGCCACCAGGCTCCAGGACCGCCACCTGGATGCCCGCTCCGAGGCCCGAGCGCGGTCGAGCCGCAGTCTCGAACCGCAAAGGCTACGGATATCACGCAGAGAGCGAATCCAAGGGGAATATGGTGTAGCATAGCATAGCATAGCACAACATGGCAAAGCATAGGTTCCCCAACAATGGGAGAACTCATGGTGTAGCATGGCATTGCACACAACAGCAAAGTATAGCATAAAATGGCATAGCATACCATGGGTTCCCCAAAAATTGGAGAACTCATGGTGTAGTCAGGTTACCCAAAAAGTGTGTAACCTATGGTGTAGCATAGCATAGCATAGCACAGCACAGCATGGCAAAGCATAGGTTCCCCAAAAAGTGGGGAACCTATGGTGTAGCATAGCATAGCATAGCATAGCACAGCATGGCAAAGCATAGGTTTCCCCAAAAGTGGGTACGCTATGGTGTAGCATAGCATAGCATTGCATAGCATAGCACAGCATGGCAAAGCGTAGGTTCCCTAAAAAAGTGGGGAAACCTATGGTGTAGCATAGCATATCATATCATAGCATAGCATATCATAGCACAGCATGGCAAAGCAGAGGTTCCCAAAAAAGTGGGGAACCTGTGGTGTTGCATAGCATAACATAGCATAGCATAGCATACCATAGCGCCAGCATGGCAAAGCATAGCTTACCCAAAAAGTGGGGAACCTATGGTGTGGCATAGCATAGCATATCATAGGATAGCATACACAGCATGGCAAAGCATAGGTTACCCAAAAAGTGGGTAACCTATGGTGTGGCATAGCATAGCATAGCATAGCATAGCACAGCATGGCAAAGCATAGCTTCCCCAAAAAGTGGGGAACCTATGGTGCAGGATAGCATAGCATAGCATATCATAGCACAGCATGGCAAAGCAGAGGTTCCCCAAAAAGTGGGGAGACTGTGGTGTTGCTTAGGGATAACATAGCATAGCATAGCATACCATAGCACAGCATGGCAAAGCATAGGTTCCCCAAAAAGTGGGGAACCTATGGTGTAGCATAGCATAGCATAGCATAAGCATGGCAAAGCATAGGTTCCCCAAAAAGTGGGGAACCTATGGTGTGGCATAGCATAGCATAGCATATCATAGCATAGCATACACCGCATGGCAAAGCATAGGTTACCCAAGCAGTGGGTAACCTACGGTGTAGCATAGCATAGCACAGCATAGCATAGCACAGGTTCCCCAAAAAGTGGGGAACCTGTGGTGTAGCATAGCATAGCATAGCATAGCATAGCATAGCACAGCACAACATGGCAAAGCAGAGGTTCCCCAAAAGGTGGGGAACCTATGGTGTAGGATAGCATATCATAGCATAGCATAGCACAGCATGGCAAAGCATAAGTTCCCCCAAGAAATGGGGAACCCATGGTGTAGCATAGCATGACATAACACAGCATGGGAAAGCATAGGTTCCCCAACAATGTGTAATCCATGGTTTATCATAGCATCGCATAGCATAGCATCGCACAACATGGCAAAGCATAGGTTCCCCCAAAAATGGGGGACCCATGGCGTAGCATTGCATAACATAGCACAGCATGGCAAAGCACAGGTTCCCCAGCAAGTGGGGAACCTATGATGTAGCATAACATAGCATAGCATAGAATAGCACAGCATGGCAAACATGTGTTCCCCAAAATGTGGGGAACCTATGGTGTAGCATAGCATACCATAGCATAGCATAGCATAGCACAGCATGGCAAAGCATAGGGTCCCCAAAAAGTGGGGAACCTATGATGTAGCATAGCATCGCATAGCATAGCACAGCACAGCATGGCAGAGCATACGTTCCCCAAACAGTGGGGAACCTATGGTGTAGCATAGCATAGCATAGCATAGCATAGCATAGCATAGCATAGCATAGCACAGCATGGCAAAGCACAGGTTCCCCAAAAAGTGGGGAACCTATGGTGTAGCATAGCATAGCATAGTATAGCACAGCATGGCAACGCATGGGTCCCCCAAAAAGTGGGGAACCTATGGTGTAGCATAGCATAACATAGCATAACATAGCACCGCATGGCAAAGCATAGGTCCCCCAAAAAGTGGGCAACCCATGGTGTAGCATAGCATAGCATAGCACAGCATAGCATAGCATACGCATAGCATGCGTCCCCTGAAACTGAAAACCTCATGGTGTAGCGTCGCATAGCACAGCGTAGCATAGCACAGCGGTCTCCTAATATTACCAGTGTGTAGCATAGCATGGCATAGCACAGTCGACACTCGTCGTCGCACGTCGTCATTCGTCGTCGCGCGTCGTCACTCGTCGTCACTCGTCGGCACTCGTCGTCACTCGTCGTCGCTCGTCGTCACTCGTCGTCACTCGTCGAGGTCACTCGTCGTCACTCGTCGTCACTCGTCGTCACTCGTCGTCACCCGTCGCCGCCTGTCGTCATTCGTCGTCTCTCGTCGTCACTCGTCGTCGTCGTCGTCGCCGCCGTCACTTTCGTCGCTCCTCCTCACTCGTCGTCGCTCGTCGTCACTCGTCGTCACTCGTCGTCACTCGTCGTCCCTCGTCGTCACTCAGCGTCACTCCGCGTCACTTGTCGTCACTCGTCGTCACTCGTCGTCGTCATCGTCGTCGTCGTCACTCGGCGTCGCTCGACGTCACTCGTCGTCACGCGTAGTCACTCGTCGTCTTTGTCGTCGTCGTCGATAGGTTAAAAGTGAAATGAACATATTCAATGATAGTCCGACGGCCGTTGCACAACCAGGACGGATCCGTAGCAACGATGCAACATAGGCACCGTGTGGACAGATGCAAAAGTCAACCGCACAAGTGAAATGAACCCACGAGCATACGATAGAAGCACATCGTACGCATAATCAGATTCAAAAATGATACACGATGAACTGAAGAAATATAATGATACACCGAAGACCGTTGCACAACCAGGACTGATGCGTAACAGTCGTACAAAATAGGCGCCGTGTCGACAAATACTAAAGTCAAGAGCACAAATGAAATGAACCCAAGATTGTTAGATAGAAGCACATCGTACGCAAAAAAATCAGACTGGCAAATGATACGCACAATCGAACAGACAGGTCAGAGAACAAGGCAAGATCACACCGACCAAGCTGGATACTTGTATAGACACTAATACATAAAGAATTATCTCACGCTCGTTCCAGAGACGCGCATAGAGTCAAACGCCAACGTAACGCATACAGGTTCCCCAAAAAATAAGGAACCCATGGTGTAGCATAGCATAGCATAGCACGGAACCCTATACGTATAGGCTATGTTATGCCATGCCAAGCTATGTTGCGCCATGCTTTGCGACGATAAGCTATGGCCAATAGGCCACCATATCACAATTCTATGTTATGCTAGATGTAATGCTATGCCATGCTATGTGGTGCTACGTTATAGTGAGGGGACCAGCCGAAGGCCAATATATATATATATATATATATATATATATATATATAGCATGCGTCACTTGCATCACAGAGATACACAATTGCACATGCATAGTTGACGCAACCGAAAAGATCGCGAGGTGAATGAGGTCACATAGAGTATAAGAAACAACGCATCCAATATCATCTTCCTGGGAACCCATGACGCGCTATGCCATGCTGTACCACAGTGGCTGGATAGGCACATGGCAACTAGTAATAAAAGATTGCGCGTAATAGTGTGCTGGGGTCCATTGCCTCAAGGGGCTCATAGGAGTTCCAGGTGCTATTAGTTGCTCCCAGAGGTTCCCCATATGTCGCCAGGTTCCAATTGGATGTTAGTGATTCCCAAGTGCTTCCATTGGGGTCCGAGTGTTTTCTGCAGGCTCCCACGGGCTTTTGCATTATGAGATAGGCGCATGGTGGGGATTCAGTGTTTAGGGCCCCGCCCGCCCGACCCGCCCGTCAGGGCCCGCCCGCCCGACCCGCCCGTTAGGGCCCCGCCCGCCCGACCCGCCCGTTAGGGCCCCGCCCGCCCGACCCGCCCGTTAGGGCATTACATGAAAAGAGAGATTATCTTTATGTGGGGGTGGAGATGCGGGGGGGATTGATAGCCACCGCAGGTGGGTGCCTATGCGGGTAGGTATTCTTGGCCTTGCCCTGTTAGACCCTAAACCCTAAACCCTAAACCCTAACCCTAACCCTAACCCTAAACCCTAAAAACTAAGAGCCTATAAAGATTAAAATCCTGAAATGCCTCCGGCGCCCCTAAAGCCCCCCCTTCGGCCGCCCCCCCCATTTTGGCGCACCCCTCACGCAGATCCTTGCCCTCGGAGCGCCAGGAATGGCGTTCTGGGAGGATCTGCAAATCCCACGCGCGGGGGGCTCGAACGCGCGCTTCATGCCGGCGTCGGCGGAGGCAGCGCGGGCCGGAGAGCCGAGCAGAGCCATGGCGCCCACGGCGGACGTCGAAGAGGCCAAGAGGGCAGCAGGGGGCGCGATGGAGAGCTCGAGCCGCGCTCGACGGACGCCGCGAAGCGCGATCCCATGGCGAGCGCGCCGAACTGGGCGACGCATCGCCAATGCGTCGGCAGCCTGCCGCGGGGACCTACCCCGTTTGGCTCTCCGCGCGCTCGCGCGTCGCATCACCGTTGCATCGGCCGTCGCGCGCTTGTCAATCGCAAAGAGGCCCTCGCGTGGAAGCAGCGAACTATCCCGCGCGCCTCGCGCCAGGCTGTGCTATGCATCGCCAAAGCAGCGTGGGGGAAGCCTTCCCGTTGTGTCGCTTCGCGCGCGCGCGTCGCATCGCCAATGCATCGGCCTTCGCGCGTCGCGTCGCGGGGCCAAGGAAACAAACATGGGGTGACTCTCACCAATCAACGACTCGCCCCGAGCGCCTCGTGTCAAGCTGTGCAATGCATCGCCAAGGCGTCGCCAAGTTGCAACGGGGAGCATGCGATGCCGCTTCGCGCGCGCGCGTCGCATCGCCCTTGCATCGGCC